AGGTCACTTTTAAAATTTAGTTCACAAAAGTAGCCACGTTTTCATATTTATTTATATGCCTAACCACTATTGCTATTATCATTGAGACACCTGGTAAGGGTATTTGATGAATTCCCACAAAACTCAGGGCATTTTTGGAAATCCTTTCGTTTTTTTTTATTATACTTGTTCCTCACAATTATTCACATTTCTTAGAAATACATTAGACTTTCCAGACAAATTTTTAAAAAAAAATTTAAATTTTTTCTTTTTTACTTTTCAGAATTTGACTTCGATTTTGAAATACTTTTAAAATAATAGATAACAAAAGAAACCAATATAGACCGAAGTAATATTTGTAACCCTAATTTTCAAAAACAGAAAAGTAAAATAATTATCAAACAGACTCTTAATTGTTGCGTTCATCCAAAAGAAACATCTTATAAACACAGTGTGAATGGCTTTTTACTCACCTCTCTAAGTACATTCTTATAAAAAAGTAGTTTTAATTAAAACATTCAAGTTTTTTGTTACATTTTTTAAAAAATTAATTTTAATTTTTAAATTTGTTTGGTTATACTATATTGAAATTGATTTAAAAGTAATTCCCGTTGAATCATTTCAAAATCAATTTTTGAAAAATAAAATTTTCAAATATTTTTTTTAGAAAGATGTTTATAAAGCAATCTAACTTTTTTTTTTAAAGCTGCTTTTATTTATTACCAAACATTGCAGAGATTTTCATCCAAAAATCACTTTAGAAATTTATGCCAAAACACACTCTTAGGGTTTTTTATCCTTGTATTTGCTTAGGCTATGAATTTTTAGTTTTAAATTATTCAATTCCATCAAATAGTTAAAATCCTAAATTTGAATTTGTTCTAGGAATGCCTTGGAAAAACCGAGTTTATTATTTTATTATAAATATATATTTTTAATTAAATTATAGAATTTCATATGGTTGCATTTATTTAGTATTTGAATTTTGTTAAGGCTAAATTACGCCTTTAAACTTTTAATTTTACTTGTATATAGTTACGACTTCAAGTTTATTAAAGGATTTGTGATTTAAAGGCCCATAAAATTTGGAAATTGAATCAGACCTGTTAAAGCCATATTTATATATACAATACTTTATATATTTTAAAAAGTAAAACTTATATTCTTCTTTATAGTTAATACAAAAAATAGAAGGTTAAATATAAAAATAAAAGTCTCTTAAAAAGGATACAAGAATATTTTCTCAAAATATATATATATATATATATATATATATATATATATATATATATATATATATTTATAAAAAAAGAAAAACAAAACATACCAACTTGAATATAGTAGAATTTGTTCATGCATTATACATATGACTTTTATTTGTTCAAATCCTCATCCTAAGTTGAACTAAAAAATAAAAAAATAAAACTAAATTTTTTTAACAATTTTGTCTTAAGAAAATTAACAAAAATTATCAAAAGAAAATTCAGAAAGAAAGGGCTGTGCCATGATAAGCTTGGCTATTGAATTTGTTGGGCCTCAACCTGGGCCGGCCCAGTGATAACGTTAAATTTGACTTCCATCGGTTTTTTTTTTTTTTTTTTTAAATACTTCCATTGGGAATTTATACTTCGTGTTTCTATGTTCCTAAAATTATGATCCTAACAAATATAATTATTCTTGGAATTCATATCACCAATTTAATGTTTTAGGTTCATTATTTTTTAAAATAATTATCTTGGAGAAGACATGATTGGTCATCACTTGTGAGAAGTAACTATTTTCCTTGTCATGTGGTCTTATTTTTTCCCACCTTTGCCTTACACCGGAGTAAATATTTGTTGATATTTTCATCCACGTTTCCATGTAACTACGAGTTCGACATCAACATGAGAATAAATTGACATTTCCATAATGTTGCAAAAAATAAAAAATAAAAAACAAAATCAACAAAATATCACTAATATAGACATTGTATTAATATTACTCATTTTAACTTATTCAAAAGGTTGAAATGTTTATTTGTTAATTTAAATATATGAGTTTTTTATTTATATTTTTATAACATTTCTAGAATTATTCATTGACATTGACATTTCTGTCAATATTTCCATAATTGAGACCTTGATAATTCCATCGATATCGACATTTAATATTTTAACTAAGGTTTTAGATGTCGATGTCAATGGAAATGTGCAGGTCTCAATTTCATTAGAAATATCGATGAAAATATCATTAAAATGTCAATATTGATGGATATTACTTAAAAGTTAGATAAATTAAGAAATCAGTCGTTTGTTGAGTTTGATATATTGTGAAGTTTTTTGTACTATGATGAAAATTTCGATTTACCTCTCATGTCGATATTGAATCCATAGATACATGGACATGTTGATGGAAATATCTGACGTATTGACAGATATTTATAGATACATGGACATGTTGATAGAAAATGTCTAACATATCAATATATATTTAAAATCTGACCCAACTTCCACTGCTTAATATAATTTTTCTCTCTTTTGCTTAAAAAATGTTATAACATTATCCAAGAAGTGGAAAATGATTTTGTATTTATGCTTAATTTTATCTAAAGCAGATAGCTTTTAAAAATTAAATATCTAATTTCACCTACAAATTCGAATTCACGATTTTTCTTTTTAGAGATAGATATCTTAACCAAGTTATATTCATGTTGGCTAATAAAGACCGCTCTTATCAGAATCGATATGCTAACATATTGAATGTGGAAAAAAAAAACTCGCTCGATAATTCTAATGAGATTGAAATTTCAGAGTAAAAACAACACACATGGGTAGATTTTGATATTTTCCTTAAAAAAAAGTTTCACAATTGATACAGAACATCACACAACATTATTGCTTTCCTTTTCCATTATTCTTGAAAAGAAGCAATTTATTATGGATCAAAGACAACAAAATAATACTAACAAAAGCAAATACATAATCTGGTACACAAACCATATAATATTGTCACCAATCTCCATGGCCAAAGTGTCTTTGCCTAACTCACAAATGGATTTTTTTTTTTTTTTTTGAGTCGATCAAACTTCAGACACATGCATGGTTAATTTTTGGTTAAAAAGTAGTGAAAGTGTTGACACTAAATTACACAAAATGCCCCTAACATTATGTAATTGGTTGCAATTTTATCTTTAAACTTTTAAAAAGTTTTCATTTCTCCTCAAATCTTTTAATTTGCTTTTAAAAAACCCCTCTATCAGTAACTTCCATTGAAATAAAAATTACTAGGTTGAGAGTAAAAAATAAAAAACTTTAAAACATTGGAGGAAAACATAAAACCAACAATACACATGTACTTGTTCTTGATGTTTGAAAGTTTCAATTGCACATTAAAATCATTTTTTTTTTGGTTGGGTTATTAGTGTTGGTTGAAATATGAAAATTTGTAGCAGAGAATTGAGAGAGAAATTAAAGAGAGGAAGGATTTGCTGTTGTTCTAGTCGTGATCTCCATGAATATACCAGCACAGCAACATGGTTGCACAGCGGCGAAGAAGGTAAATTCTGGCTCTCTGCTGCTTCATCAAAGCTCCACACTTGGAGCTAAGCCTATGGCTCTGGCTCTTCATCTTCTCAGATTTTGTTTTGGGAACCAATTTACAGTGCACCTGCAGCTCAGCCATGGCTAACCCACCTCCAATAAAAGGTTGGAAAAAAAAAAAGGAAAATTCTGGAGAAGCTTTTTGAGGTTTGAAAATGGTGGGGATACAGGATCTGATTTATAGATAGGAAAGATAACTGAGTTTGGAAGGGAAGGGAATGAATTTGGTCGAGTTTGATTTTTGGGAGTTTAAAAGTTTTGTTTTTTTAAATTCCATTTCTTGGGATAGTGAAAAAGATTGCTTGTTTGATGTTGAAGTGAGAGAGTGAACATGGTCAAGTTGGAACAAACTTTTGAGGGCTTGCTTTGCAATTTGAGTCAGTTGTATACACTTTAATGTGATCCTAATGATTTAATTAATTCATATAATAGCAGCAGATGTATTATGCTAAAACGAACTTAGCTCAGCAGTAATTGACATAAATCTCTTAGTGCATGTATATATATGTATAATTGTACTATACGAGTAATATATTAGTGTTACGAGGGTAAATTTGACATTTTATTATTTGAACCTCTCTTTTATCCAAAAAATTTGTTATATTTACATAACTAAAATCAGGTGTTAAATTTGTTATTTCCTTTTTTTTTTGCCATATTTGCAATGATTTATCATGTGTTAATAACAAAGATATTGTTATAAAATAAAATAATTTTTATTATTATTCTAATTAAAAATAATATTAAGTATTTTTTAGTTAATATATTTGTAATTGGTCAAAGAAGAATGTAATATAGTATTCTATTAATTATCATAAACATGATTATAGAACATAAAAATTTATAGTAAATAACGTAAAATTAATAATGTTCCTATCTTGATTGATTTCATTTCAAATTTTCATTTCAAATTTTTTAGAATGTATTCCGACCCACTCTCACATATCTAATTGTATTAAAAAAATATTAAAATGAATATAACTCAACCATAATTGACATATAGCGTCGACCCTGAGTTCAAATTCTGTCTTCTATTTAAAAAAAAAAATTGTATTAAAAAAACATTAAAAAAAAAAGGGAAAAAA